TATAATACAAAGAAATACACAAAAAGAGTGAGGCATATAATTTACAAACTATAAAAAAGAAAGATAAAGAATATAAACAACTACACTCTAACAACAACAAATAAATATATATATATATATATACATATATATATTATTATATTTATTTATTTATTTATAAAAGAAAAACAAAGAGATACAGCACTCATAGAAAGAACAAACAAAATTTTTTTTGTCTGTCTCTCTTTAAAATATCTCAACTCATAAACAAAAATAAAACAAAGAAGCAAATATAAATATCTTTAATAATCATGCACGTAAACAGTAAATAAATAATCATATATACATATAAATATAAATATATAAATATTATATATATATATAGATATATATACATATAGATATATAGATATATGTCTTCCTGTTATTATAAGTGCAGCAACAAATATCTACAATTGTTGTTTTATATATCATACTTCTCTTTGTTTAGTTTTTATCATATATATTTATATCTTTATTATTATTAATTTGTTCTTCTTCTTTAATTCTTATCATACACCTTCAATATTTGTTTAACTCTTCATTATTTGTTTTTTATCGTCTTTGTTTATTTCTTATGATGCATCTTCTCCTTTAGACTGTGTAGAAATCTATTCTTGCCTTTATCGCAATGTGCTTCTTTCTTATCGCTGCTAGTTGCTGCTGTTGCTGCTGCTGCTGGTGTTGCTGCTGCTGCTGCTGCTGCGGGTGCTTCTGCTGGTGCTGCTGAGGCGGGGGCAGCAGCAGCAGGCTGCTGAGGAGACTCTGCTTGGGCCCTGAACGCCCAAGCAGCAGCAGCAGCAGCAGCAGCAGCAAAGAGCTTATTATCTTTTGTCTCTCCTAAACTTTTCTTTCTAAGCTAAAGACTATCTATACCCTTTGATAATAAACCCTGACGCTATAAATACGCATGTATAATCTATATATTAAAAATATATATATATATTTATATATATATATATATATTTATATATATTTTCATCTTCGTCTCTACTTTGCTATCCGCAGCAGCAGTCGCAGAGCCAAGTGCTGTTCTATGTGCAGCTATTATATACATATATATATATATAATCTATTCTACAAACTTATGTTGAGCAGTATTAAACTAACGTAGAGGATAATAAAAACTAATAATAATATTGTGTAGATATGATAAAGAGCAAAGAGAAGCAGCAGTCGTCTCTCTAAGAAAAGAGAAGAAGGTTTGCGGTGCCCTTGTAATGAAGCAAGAAACGGTATAAAGTTGTTTGATAATATTAATAAACAGTAGACAGTAATGATAAGAATAATAGGTTTAACAGTTAAGAGCCCCGTGGAGTTGCTGGGATCGATGGGATCGACAGTGTGGGGTTTATTGGGATCGATGGGATCGTGTTTGTTTTCTTTCTTTCTCCTAACTGCAAGTCAATATTTCTGCCGGTGTACGCAAAACAAACGGCGGTGCAAGCAAAATCTGCTGCTGCTGCTGCTGCTGGTACAGCAGCTTACTATCATGATAATAACACGAGGAAGAAAGCCGCAGCTGTAGTAGGAACAGCAGCAGCAAGAACTATAGGCTGCTGCTGCTGCTGCTGCTGGTTGTTCTAGCGCTGCAACTTCTGCGATTTTTGCTGCTGCTTACTTGGATGCATCAAGAGCAGCAATAGCCTTCTGCATCTCCTTAACCTCATCGATAGATCCCTGAAGCTCCTGTCTTTCTTGTGCGGTCAATTCTAACTCAATAATCTTCTCAACACCTCTCCCACCGATAACACAAGGTACTCCTAAGTAGTGATTCTGTACACCATATTGTCCTTGCAAGTAGCAAGAGCAAACCATCACTCTCTTTCTATCCTTTAGATAGCTCTCAGCCATCTGAATAGCTGAAGCCCCTGGAGCATAGTAAGCAGAGCCTTGTCCTAATAGGCGTACGATCTCTCCTCCAGCGACCTTGGTCTTCTGAACGATATCATCTACTTCTTCTTGCTTGATCCAGCCCTTCTTAACAAACTCAGAAAGCGGGATGCCGTTAACTGTTGCATATCTACTTAGGGGCACCATATGATCGCCGTGTACACCTATGACCATCCCCTGTACATCTCTAGGAGAGACTTCTAATTTATCAGCTATCATACGTCTAAAACGAGAGCTATCAAGCATCCCAGCCATACCGCAGATTCTATGATGAGGTAGTCCTGATGACTCTTGAAGAGCAGCTACCATCACATCTAAAGGATTTGTTATATTAATAACAAATGCATTAGGACAGTAAGATTTAATTGCTGCACCGACCTCCCTCATTATCTTTATATTCACAGGTAATAGATCCATTCTAGACCATTCTTTATCGCTCTTTCCGGGTATCTTTGTTATCCCTGCTGTTATTATTACTACGTCCGCACCCTTCAAGCACTCGTATGAATTTGAGCCGTATACTGTTATACCCGTGTCAACCACCGACGAATTGTGCGATATATCCATCGCCTTCCCCATCGGCATGTCTGCACAAACAAACAAATATAAATATAAATATATATATATATATATGTTCAAATACATATATTTATATATATAAACATGCATATATATACATGTATTACGTATATATATATATATTGCTTGTATGTTCTCCATAGGTTTATAAAAATAATAATATATATTTATATTTATATTTATATTTAAAGATATATTTTGATTGATGTTTGTATTTATATACTCAGTTCTGTGTAGGGAGCTTAGCTCAGCTGTACGAGACAATAAACTCTGCTGTATTTAATGTCTATAAATTATTTATTTACATTTAAGTAGCGATTAAGACATAATAATAACTAAAATTATTAAATTAAAGTATTATATTACTTTAATATAAGATGTCTGTCTGTAAAATTACTATACACACACACAACCTAACTAATGTGTTTGTGTGTGTGTGTGTGTATGCATATTATTACGCTGTATACTGTTGCATATGCAGGGTCTATACATGTATTAATACTGCTAAATAAGAGCAAAAACCCATACACACAAACAAAAAATAATAAATTGAATAAGAAGAAAAGCAGAATTAAACAAAAGCAGCACAAAGACAGCGGCACCGATGCTGCAGCAGCACCGATGCAGCCGCAGCAGCAGCAAGCACAGCAGCAGGAAGAAGGGTAAATAGGAGCAATTTTTAGAGTTTTTAATATATAAATGCATGTAAAAAAGAGAAGAATATGAGTAAAAGAAGAAAAAAAAGAAATCTTCATCAACTTACTCGGTACAACGTCGAAGAGGACAACATCTCCGAGTTCCCTCAAGCTGCACAGGAAAGCCATGGTGCCTCCAATCATACCGGAGCCCACCATAGCAATCTTGGGGCGTGTATTCTTCTCGAAGACCGCCATTTTCACAAGAAAGAGCAAGAAAAAAGAAGAAGAAAGATATAAAATGTGTATGAATTAAGTAATAAATAAGCGGTGCGCAGTAAGCCAGCCCCAGCTGTACGTACGTACGTCTTACACACCCACCGATGAAGCGGTAGAATATGAGGAAATAGAGAGTTTAAGGGGTTTATTTGTAGCAAAATAAACGTAAACGAAGAATATTAATGTGTAGAAACAAAAGAAATACAATTCAACAGACAAAACAAACTCAGAATTATACGCAGCTGCAGCGGGGGAGCCCAGGGGCTCTATGCGCGCCGCACGTAACGCACCCGCAGAGCAGCAGCAGCAGCAGCCAAGCATTTGTATAAGTATTTTTTTCTAAATATATTTAAATATATTTATTATTCTTCTTTATATTGCTTTCCTCTACATCAACAAACCCTAATATAGAGATGTTTCTAACGAACCCCTAGAGAAACAAAACTATACACACACACACACGCACCGTACGTATGATGATGCAGCACCCGACCACAGCAGCAGCTCAAACACACAGCAGCAGCAGCAGCAGCAGCAGCAGCAGCAGCAGGAACAGAAGCAACAAAAGCAAGCACAATCATCCGTCTCTTCGGTTTCTCCTTGCCTACCTCTTCTTCTTGCTTCTATTATTATCATCACAACAAACAAACGCAAATGAAGACACACACAGCAAGAGAGACAAAGAGGTAGCTGCAAGAGTTAGTTGAAGATAGAGAGTTATTATTATCTGGCTAATAGACTTCGTATGCTACAGGGCTGTAATTATATTTAAAATAATAATTATCTTAAGCAACACACCCTTTCCTTGAGCCTCCAGCTTACTCTACACACAGCAGCAAAGAGAAGTCTTCATAGCTGTAGCTGCTTATCGAGAGCTGCAGCAGAGCATTCTCCAGTTTCTACTCTAAGGAATTAGGCATGCAGGCATGTTTTAAACCCCTTTAGATTGCACAGTTGATGGATGCCGTTAGAACCTTCTTTAGTGTGTCTTCACCTAAGTAGAAGTGTGTAGCTGTTGCTCACCATACTACACACAAATGTACATATATATATATATATATATATGCATATGTATATATATATATATATGTAGATGTGTGTGTGTATATGTATATATTCGCTCATTTGCTTAGCGACCCAGCTAGGAATGTGTGTATCGGGGGGAGCGCAGTAATAGGGCTGCCGTAGACGCGAGTAAGTGAAGAAGAGAAAGAAAAAGAAGAGACAGTTGGCATGAAGAAAGAGAGATGAAGCATCTGTTGATGCTGTTAGTCTCTGCTTGATGAAGCAGGGCCGTGTAGCTGGGTGGTTACTGCGCATGCGAGTGTGTCTTCTCCGTGTGTCTGAGGAGTACACATAATTTTTTAAACATCCGAAAATAAACAAACAGGCAGAGCACTAGAGGGAGAGTAATGGACGGGGTAGGAGGGTATATGGATGCTAGAAGGATGCACATTTAATGCGACAGTCTGTCTCTCGTGTTGGCTGGGGCGGCGGGGAGATAGAGAGAGAGCCCAAGGAAAAGAATTAGAGCAGGAGTACATGTAGAGACAGTAAAGTAGCACAATATATAAACACAAAGATTACCGTCTAGAACCCAACTATACGCTAGACTGTATGTACTCATGCTTTTATTCACCACCGATGAATCGAAGGTTATTTATGTAGATAGATTGTCTTGCACAAGATGTCTTCAGACATCCCCTTCTGCTGTCTGTCTTCTCGCTATTAAACATAATATTTGTTTTTTTCTAGTCCATATGCTTCTTTACTCATTTGTTTAAAAACTTATGCACCTCTAGCTGCTCCTTCGTGTAGCTACGTTGCAGTTGTTTGTATTGTGTATGGAGAGGTCGGGGGAAACTTCATCAATTTAAAGATATTATCACCACTTAGAAGAGAGTACAGAAAGTAAATTAATGCTCTTAACGAAGGACAAACAGTAGAGGGCCTTACCCAACACTTGGCGAGCGTTTTAGCGGTTTTACCTCGTGCACGCTGCGCAACATTTGCGTATTGTCTAAACCTAAATCAAATAAAATCAATTAAATAAAAGAAAAGGAGTTCAAAGGAAAATGCCCGAGCTTTATCTCAGACATCTCTGTCCTTTCTCTTCATTTTTAAGCGGTGCTACATGCTGTTCTAGTATGTATTATTATTGAGCTGCTGTCGCTGTAGAGCAATGGGTCTAGGGGTAAGAGTGCAGAGTTGTATTATAAACTTATTCCTTACAGGGAGGGAGCTCAAGCCACTTTGCTGCATCTTTCCTTCTAAGAGCCTCAGAAACATTTTTAAATATACAATTGCTTGCTTCAGTCTGAATGTCTTCTGCATGCGGGTAAATCGCAGGAGTTATTATATTATGCTTTATATTTAGCTGCATTATTAACTGGCTTCAGAAGGCAGTCAAGAACTTCGAGTTTTTATTATTGAACATGCAATAAATAATTCGGTGGCTGTCTATTGTGCAACTGAGTTTGAGCAGGCGATTATGTGGGTATTTTTGTTTCGATTAGCTAAAAAAACGTAAATGTTAGCACGCCTTGTGGCTGATGATAAAATGTTTATTAAATATACTGAATGTCTACATCTCCATTCGAATTTGTTTGGGAATATGAAGGCTTTTAACTGTAGTTGATAAGATATGAGGAGATATATCCCCCTGATAAACAAGATATTAATTACATCTTCCTATGAAGGTGCACTTAGACCATCAAAACAAATCAGTTGTTTTGCGCTTGCCTTGGTGTCTTGTTCATCAGAGGGAGACATCTCCTCTCTGTGCTTATCACATGTGGAGTTAATAAGTTGTTGCCACAGTGAAAGCATTTTAGACCGATGGTTTGACTATGCTGCGCTCGTCTTAATGCGGAGCCAAACCCAGCAGTTGTTTGCTTCTCTGCACAGGGCACGTCCTCCCTAATCTCTTTCATTTGAGAGGAAGAAAGGGATAATATACCTCTAAAACCCAGCGAAAAGTATCTGCATTTTTCACGTTTTTTAGGTGTACAGACAGTTATGGGTAAAAGGTGCTCTACATCAGGAGGACTAGATGCATGGTGGACTTCTTACTCAAGTGCTCCGAAGGGCATCACCTTTACTGTATGACGTCTGCGAGTTGTAACGAAATCAAACAAACTATAAAAATGAAATGGTGTTGCAACAGGTGGTGAACGCTCTGTCTTAACCAGCAGCAGGTGCATGCGCTTCTATGCCTAGGACATCAGGAGACAAGACAGCAAATAGGCTGCCTTTCGCGAGCACTTCAGTCAGGTGTAGCTAATATATATCAGGCAAGGATAACGCTAAGGCCCCTCGTTATACGCGTCGCTGAATGCCGTTACACTTGGTACCCCTCTGTGGTTGAAACGGACAAGAGCAAGCTGAGCGATCGATATCGCAGAGAAGAGCCACGCTCTTGAAGACAAATTACTTATGCAAATGCGCAGCCTTAACGCATAGTACTTCAGCATTGTCCTTAAGCTTCAAACTGAGGTTTACTTTGGTTTTCCTTTTTAAAAAAAGAAAGGAGTTTGCGCTTCCACTGCAAAGCCAGCAATGGTTGAGTACTCAACTCCTAGAGATAATAGGATATGAATTTTAGTTTAAAAATAGTTTTATATTTTATTATATATTATAGTCATTGAATAAAAATTAAACTTCCAATTAGTAAAAAGAGAAAAAGGCACCTGCACTTCATCTTGGGGAAGACAACTTAGCTGTAATGGCTGCGGTGTTATTTGCAAAAATGTAGCAAATGCCGTCACATAAGAACAGTAGAGAATATTTTTTAAACTTCTTTTTAGAAGCACTGTTGTCTTCGAAATTCATCTCGAAGAGCAACAACTGCTTCAGGCTTTCTCAGGCAGAGTCAGGGCACTGGTGGTGTCGCACAAGCAGTAGCATCTGATCTCTGTAGCACTAAAGCCCCTAAGCGTCTCTCTCAGGTGTATGAACAGCTTGATGAACGTTTACTAGACATCCTGTACCCAACGAAAAAAGCACCAGCACAGATATATTTCCTACATAAGAGTGACCCTGCAACGCATTCTTAGTTCGGAGCACAGCACCATCACTTTAATCGTCAGGGAAGACAATATCAAAGCTGGAAGCAAGTGCAGAGCAAAGTTTGCTGTACGTCTTGGCACAACACCCGCGTTCAGAGTCTGATCCCTAAGGTTCAGGTATACGAGTTTTAGCGAAATTTTGAGTGTTAGGGATTGAAGCAGCATCTTCTTAGCTTGGGTTTAGCTACATCCGTTCATGCAAGCATAAAGTCTTTTAAATGCATGGAGGATACTATCCACTTGTGTAGTTTCATTTGTTAGTCAGGAAAACTCTTCGAGCAGTTGCCTTTAGCCCTTTTCGTGCAAAAAAATAAAGGAGAGAGTAACTGAACCAAAGGAACGACAACTTCAAACAATAGCAACTGAGGATATGCTTTAAGGGGTTTGTTGCTTTTGTGCATTTATCTTCTTCTCTTCTGCATGTCTTGAGCGAATAGTGAAACGATTTATCACCCGTGCATGACGGTGAATCGGCTTTGTTTTACTATATGGAGTGGAGGTCTTGCCCTATCTATGGGCTGCAAGTTTGCCTATTCTTTGGGGGTTTATCATGAATAATGTTTTAATTCCTTTTCTTCGGTAGACAGAAGCATAGCATAAGGCTGTACAATTATGCTTGTTTTGTCGGGTATTTGCTGCCAGGTGGGTCGGGCCCTGCGTGTGTAAAGTAGCAAACAATGATAAAGAATATTAATGTTATTTTTGATATTTATATCTTCTTTTATGAGGCTACGAAGGAAAATACCGACAGGGTATCGATGGTTTGAGCTGTACGTACAGCTGGTGGGTGACCTGCAGCAAAGCGGGGGGGGAAGAGGCGATGAAGAAAATCAGAATTGTCTAAATAACTCCTCTAAAGTGAATAAATTTATTATTAATAAAAAAGTTAAAAGTTAAAGAGAAGAATAGAGTTGAGGAGAAGCTGCAGCTACCTCTGCTGAGCCTTCTACGGTGTTGCTGTTCTGACGTTAGAGGGCCCTGCGCTGCACATTGTTCGTAAAAAATAGAGAAAAGAGGAGAAATGAACGTAAATATATATTTATTTAATTGTTTTAATTATAAAATAGACATTTAAAGAAATATTTTAAGGATAAAGTCAACTCAGTCTTGTGCAGGCACACACCCACTGGTGCTCGCCACCGCCGGCTCTCTCTCTTCTTCCCCCTTAAACTCATTTGTTTTCTCTTTGAGCTGCTCTGTCTTTATTAATGTTTTATTTCAGGTGAATGCCTATCTTCTTTTTGTTTTGCAGTTGCTGTGGATTTAAAAAAGGTATTTTTCTTCTTATTGTGCAAGCACCGCCAGGTTGCAGCACTCAACGGAGACTGCTGGTGCTGCTGTTGTCGCTTGTTCACCTCTTGATTGATCTCTTCCCCTTTATCCTTCACTTTATCTCCTTCCTTTATCATAAATCTACATTTCCTTCTCATTAAAATGCATATCCGCCTTGTGCTGTTGTGCGCTGCGGCGCTAGAGAGAGCATCAACTGCGTACTCGCTGCAGCAGCAGCAGCAGCAGCAGCAGCAGCAGGGAGGTCTAAACCCTGCTGATACAGGTTTTCTCCCCTCAACTGATTTCTTATCTGCAGGTCCAACAGAAGAATTTGATTATCATGAGGAGGAGGAGGAGCAGCAGCTGGAGAACGGTAACAGACTAAGGTCTGCTGCTGGTGCTGCTACTGGTGCTCGAGCTGCTGACCCTGCATCCTTCACAGATGCAACAATAAGTGAAGAAGAATTTGAACGTATATCAAGCTCAATGAAGCCGTGTTTTCAATCTGAAGACAGACAAGCATGTGGCTCACGTGTGAAGGAAGAAGACTATCCAGGGGGTCTTCACTGTCCTGTGAGTAGTTGTTGCAGTAGAACAGTTATAGAACGCGGATCTATTGGTGGTTGGTGTTCAAAGAGTTGGGTGTATTGTTCTTCTTCCCTTATATATGAAGCTGAATTCTCCTATGGAACCTGCAATTGCAGCGCCTTCAGAAACCGCTGCCCCGCCGGCAGCGATTGCTTTGATACGGATTTCGGCCCTTATTGCAAATGCCAGACCGGCTTAGTTGAAACAGAGGGAGATTGTCAGATCCCAACAACAACAACGACAACAACAACAACAAGCAAGCCAACAACAACAACAACAACTACTACTACTACTACAACAACAACTACTACTACAACGACAACAACTACCACTACCACCACCACAACAACAAAAGAACGGATTGTTTGTAGAGCTGATGATTGCAGACCAGGATTCTGTGATGTAGTGCAAAATAAAGTTGTATGTACATGCTTAGGAGGATATGTTTCGAAGAAACTTTCACATGAACGCGAACAATGCGTCTTTCAATACTGATTGCCTCCGTGCACAGTTCAGGTGTACAGACAGGTACGTAATGGAAAGCGGTGGAAAGCTGCATTAAAAAACTCGAAAATATATCTTTCGAATTCATGAATAAATTTAAATTAATCTATTTTATTCATTTAATCAATTATTTCTCTCTTTTTTTCCCTTCAGGCTCCGCTTTTGAGGTGTATATGGCCTCCATCGGCATTCGCCGCCTTCCGCGTCTGCTTGGATTTCATCTTCCTTTTCATTTCTTTCTACATCTTCTCTTCCTTTTGATTTATTATTTCTTTAATATTTAAATCACCTGTTCTTCCGTCGTGTGTTTGCTCTTCGTAGCTCTTTACTACCTTCGGTTTCTTACCCTTACCTTTTCCGCTTCTTGCATATACATTTCTTTCCTGGGTTTTCTGCAAAGGCAGTTCTTACTTTTTTTATTATTCCTGCTGTTTCTGTAGTCGTCGTTGTTGTTGATTATGCTGGTTACCGCGTTCTTTTCTCTTCTCTTTTTTTTCGAATTTTATCCTTTTACTTCACCTCCTTTCTTCCTGTACACGGACGCCAGGCAGCAGCGACTGTGGGTAGTAGGGCGTTTAATAGAAGACAAAATAAGAGGAGTGGAGCAAAATATATTAAAATAAAACAAAGAAAAGAACAGCAGGAAAATGAGATAGATCGGAGTGATGAACTGGATGCAGTATCTTTTTCTTTTTCTTCTTTTTCAGTTTCTTTTTGTTTACTTTCCTTGTATTTGTTAATATTCTTGTCCTTTACTTTCTTCTTTATAATATCACTCCTACCGCTATGTTTTTCTCCTTATCCAATGGAAGCTGTGAGCATCCCCAGCAAACTAAGGGGTTTATAAATCTTCTCTTTCTTTGCTTTTTCTGCTTTGTCTGGGTTGCTCTATATACTTTGTAGTCCTCACCGTTCTAACAGTGCCCTGTGAATAAACACAGAAGAGCATTTTATTTAAACACAAGAGCGTGTATATTAACGAATACAATTAGCATTGTATTCACATACAGTATTTATAAAATTATACATCTATATATATACAATATATAAATATATGAGTATATATAAATATATAAAATACTTCTTTATTCACATTTATGTACAATATATAAATATGTGCATATAGGTATGCACTTTTATAAATATATAAATCTATATATTTACATCTACGCCAGCAGGAGCTGGGGTTTTGTCTGCTGAAATGCATATTCTTGTGCAGCGCATGCAACTGCAGCAGCAGCACGTGCTGCTGCTGCATCAGCAACAGCAGCAGCACGTGCTGCTGCTGCATTTGCTGCTGCAGTCTTTGTTGCCGCATTAGACTGCGACTCCTTTCGAGTGGTTTTTACTTCAAGCACAGCTTTGCATGCATTTATATCTGTATAGCTCTTTTTTTCTGCATTGTTTATCCTTAGACATCCTTCAGAGGGGCATTAACATATAAACAAACGTCGCCGTAGAATTAAAATAATCATCATTCTCTCCTTCTTGTTATCTCTTTTCTGTTTATCATATTCCTATACATATGTATATGCATATATATATATATATATACATATGTATATATATACATATATACATATGTATACATATATACATATATATATATATATGCATATGTATATATATGT